GCTCGAGCAGATTGTGCGTATATTAGATTGCGAAAATGATTTTTTACATCACTTTTTCAGATTGTTTCTCCCTAAAACCTAAAGTTGAGACCCTCTCTCTCTAAAACACACTCTCTCTCTTTACATTTTCACCTAGTTCTAGTGATTTCCTCACCCTAATCCCTTTAATAAAAAGGTAGACCATCTCAAGATCTCCATTTTGATCCGAGTAGAGTTGGGTTTGGGCATCTTTGGAGTTTCACCTTCGCTTGGTTCGTCTTCTCTTTTTGAGGTAAGGATTTTCTATACTCTCATATGATCTTTAGCTTAGTGATTTGTCATTGTGTAACAATGGTGGTATTTGGGAGTAGTTTGAAGCAAACCTAAGGTTTGTATTCAAGTTTGAAATGAGGGGTTTCTATGTGGGTGTTATATAAATGATTATGGGATTTGGATATAAGGTCATCTTGTGTTAAAATAGTTGATTTTGGTCCTTAGGTTAATATTTGGAAAAATGAGGAGCTTTGTCCTAAAATGTCTTAAACAATTATTTTGTATAAATAATGAAATTGGTATGGAAAATGTGACATTGGGAGGAAGTATACATGGATGATGTTATTGGATTTGTTTAATCACTCACCTATGGAAATTCAAATAATTTATCTATTGAAAAGATTGTATATCTATTTAGAAATATCTGTATTGGGCTATCGATGGAGAACAGCTATGATTGTTGTAAAAATTGCTTGAGGATTAGGTAAATTGAAACTAATCTATTGTTGGTTGTCATTGAGTTTGACTCTATTTTAAATACATTGCATATGTGTGATTGTTTGGGAGGAGAAAAGGAATGTACTTCATTGTTTGGGAGGAGATAGGGGATGGACTCCATTGAAATTAAGTTGGCTGGAGTGTCCAGGGGGAAAGTCCCGAAATCTTGTATATACATGGATGCCGATCCCGCAGACGAAATTTTCGTAAAATGGCAGATTTGAAGTGTTTATGTGGTAGTGTTTTGAATTGGAAAACCATTGAGTTGTAGTCTCAGTTGGGTTATTGAGAAATAATGAAATTGACTCATGAATTGAGAATAATGAATAAACCTGAAATGAATTGAAAGAAAATGAATTGAAATATGAACCTTGGTGTCTCACGGTTACATAAAATGTGGAGATATTGTCACCGGCATTGTATATGCAAATTACACTTATATCTTTGTTAAATCTCATATACTGTGTTAGATTATTTTTACTAGGCTTTGGCTCACCTCATTTAGGGAAAACCATTTTCAGGTACTGGTGACATACCTCCGCCAGGGCAATAGCTTGGGGGGACTTGGGAGCAAAAGCTTCTTTATTTTGTTGCATTCTTTTGTATAGCCAAGGGCATAAAATTGTATTAATCTAGACTCATTTTTGTGTAACCAAGCCATGACTTGGAAACATGTAAGCCTATAGGGCATATGACTATTTGTTTAGTTTCAATTCTCTTATCACTGCAACAAATGCTGTAGATTCAGAATGAACATATGTAAATGTAAATTGCATGTGTTAACTTGTGTAAATGAACTCTGATGAATGAAACCATATTGTTTCTATTATTATTCTGTTTTAAGGATTGGATTTATTGTATTATTTTGGGGGTGTTACATCATGTGAATTTAATAATCTAATTAAAAATTAGTGCATACACACAAAAATGTAAAACTAAACATCTACATTATGACCAACTATTTAATTATGAATAATTAACTTATCATTGTTACATGTTTTATATTGTTGCAAAAGATTTCATATATTACTTTTGTGATATTTTATATATGTCAATGTCTATATATATAAATATATAAAAAAAATACAAATGTAAATTTATATATATTATTGTATTCATACATTGTCAATTTGTAATTACCATCGGATACTTTAATTTACTAACATGTATCGCTTTAGTAATATAATTATATTTGCTGGGAAGAAAGTGCGGAATTGTGTATTGTTCTCCTATCAACTTATAGCGATCCCGGTTTTGACCCGACCTTTGTTACATTCTGGACTCGGGTTTAGTGGTTTAATATTGTATCCATGTCTTGTATTCCTCCTTTAACTCTTTGAACTTGGGTTTTAGAACATGTTGGGCATGTTTGGAACAGGTTGGTTGTTAGTTGGTCTAGATTGTTGTTGCCTAGATTTTGGCTTCTTCGCTCGAGCAAGGCTTCTTGCGCTCGAGCGAGATTTGTGAGTCCTCAGGTTTCTTTCCTAGACGCAGAATTTCTGAGAAGGTGAAGTTCTTCGCTCTAGCGAGCTTGTGCGTCTGTAGAACTTCTGAAGCTTTGCATTCTACGCTCGAGCGACTCTTCTTGCGCTCGAGCGAGGTCACTTGTTGTGTCTGGTCGCTCGAGCGACAACTCCTTCACTCGAGCGAGGGTCGCGTATATCAGTTCACAGCAGAGTAATTTTACATCACTTTTTGATTTCCTTTTTCCTAAAAACCCTAATTAGGCACTCTCTCTCTCTCTCTCTCTCTCTCTCTCTCTCACTCTTTACAAATATTCCAAGATCCAAGCATCTCTACCCTACTTCCTTTGAGAAAAAGGTGGAGCATCTTGTGGGCTTCCATTTCATCCGAACCAAACTTGGTTTTGTGCACTTTTGAGGTTCTGAGGTTCTTCATCATCTCCTTTGAGCTTCTACACTTGAGGTAGGAATACTCTACACTTTATTATGGTCTTTAACCTAGTTATTCGTTGTTATGTATAAATGATGATACTTGGGAGTGATTTGGGTAAAGTTAGGGTTTGGGTTCAAGTTGAAAAGAAGGGTTTCCATGATTGGGTTATATAAATGAATATGGTGTTTGAATATGAAGTTCCCTTGTGTTAAAATTGTGAAATTTAGCCTTTGAATTGATATTTTTAAAAATGATGAGTTTTGCCCTAATTTGTGTTAAATAATTATTTTGAATAAATAATGGAATTAACATGGGGAAAGTGAAATTGGGGGAATGAATGAATGAATGAATGGTGTAGTTAGATTTGTTTAATCACACACCTATGGAAATTTGATAAATTATCTGTTATAAAGATTGGATATCTGTTTAGAAATATCTGTTTTGGGCTATCGGTGGAGAATAGCTATAATTGTTTTAGAAATTACATGTGGATTAGGTGAATTGAAACTAATCATTTAAATTATGTCATTAAATATGGTGGTATGATTAAGTCATTGAATATGTGTTATGGATAGTCATTGTATATGACAATGCTTTTAAATACATTGTATATGTATCATTGTTTGGAAGGAGATAGGGGATAGATTCTATTTAAAATTAAGTTGGCCAGAGTGTCCAGGGTGAAAGTCTCGAAACCTTATATATATCTATGGGTGCCGATTCCCTCGGATGAAAATTTCGTAAAATGAAAAAATTAAAGTATTTGAATAATAGTTGTATTGAATTGTGAATCACTGAGTTGTAGTCTCATTTGGGATTATTTAGATAACAATGAACTTGACTCATGAATTAACTTGAAAAGAAATGAATTAACTTGAAATGAATAGATGGAATTGGATTAAGGTTTGAGTACCAATACTGAATGGCCATGGGAAGTATGTAAGTTGGTTATGAAAATTGAACATTTATCTGACACTTATATGTTAGTTAAACCTCATATATTGTGTTGGTATATCTCTACTGGCTTTTGGCTCACCCTATTTGGAAAACCATTTTTAGGTACAAGTAATATGCTCCATCCAAGAACGTAGCGTGGGAGGACTTAAGAGTTGAAGGCTATATTTTGTTATTTTTGTGTTTAAATGTTTATTCAAGCCAAGGGCTTTATATGTATAGAATTTATGACTCCCTTTGTTGTAACCAAGTATGTCTTGGAAAGATATAAGCTCGTAGGGCATTTATTTTGTTATTATTAACAAATGTTATATGTTGTAGATTCAAAATGAATATCTAGAAATGTGTAATGCATGTAACACCTTTTGTAATATAAACTTTGATGAATGAAGTATATCATTTTTATTATGTTCATAGATCTTATGGAATGGATTATTTGTATTATATTTTGAGGGCGTTACACAACTTATATTCAATACATATTTACATACATGTCATATAAATAAATGTCCACAACAAACGCTTTCAATAATAAACTATGACCTCTATCACGACAATAATTGCACTTTTTATATTTATTTTTTTTCACAACAATTGTATAGTAATTGAATACTAATGACCAATGCTATATTTTTCATCATGCAAAATATTCGTGGCATAGGAAACAAGACTCAACAATTCTTGATGTATACAAATATATTACATACTGATATTAATAAATTCTTATACCAATAGTATGCAAATAATATATAATAGTGGGTTCAATGAATTTATATTATAAGATGAAGTATTAAATAAAATTTTGTAATTGTGCAATTAATTTCATACCTTCAATTATATTATAGGTATGGATTATAAAAAAATTGAAGTGGGAAGTTGATAGAAAAATATTTGTATAATACTATATATTTAAAGAACCTGTTTATTATTTATTGTTTAAAATAAGATTGTGATCTCAACAATCTAACTATAAATTAATGTTTATATTTATAAAATTTCTCATTTATAATTTAAATTCTTCAACCGAATATGTATTCATTTCTTACATAGTTGTATTTTGAATACAGATCAGTGTACCCATACAAGTCTCCATACTTTGTACATATATCACATACTAATTTAAATGACACGTATAATTACAATACTAACCATTGACTAAAAATCACGCTCCAGCTGTGATTTACGTATCTAATCACTAGTATCTTAAAAGACCTAAGTTTTTTGAGCTCAATAAAATAAATGAGAAATGAGATGCAACCAATAAGATATACAGAAATTACGAGGCCTAAAGAATGTGTTAACACGGCTAAAGAACCAGCAATGAAGGCGACTATCATCGCTGCCACGGCAATTAAAATGAGGTTTAAGGCTATTATATAGCGTTTCATCTTCTTAGACACTTCATCTTTATTTCTGACATAATAAACTGAGGCAGTGACGTATAGAAAGGCAGAGGAAGTAGAGCATATCATGGCTATAGTATTTGTAATAACAAATACTTTAAAAGCTGCTTCTCTTAGTAGAAGTGGCATTCCTTGATTTGAACCTTCATTGCTATTATAACCACCAGGCATCGTGCAACCGGCCGCAAAGGTGATGGTTGCTATCAGGGTTGCCACTATCATATGGGTGTCACCCATTTTCTTCAATTCTTCGTTGACTTGTGCTTTCGTATTCTTACTTTCTTCTTTCCTTATTTTTCTTGACTCTTGATTCCGACTGATTTTATTTCTCGCAACACCAAGTGAGTATTCCTGTTTGTTTTTCTTTTTGTTATGATCAGTTTGAAAAGCCAAACCTAATACTCCCTCCGTCTCAAAATATTAGTTCCTTATTCCATTTTTATTATCCCAAAATTTTAGTCTCTCTTCTAAAATCAAGTACAAAAATAATATAAATTTTCTATTTTGCCCCTCTTTTAAATTAATAAACAATATAAAAAATACAATTATGACATTGATATTCTCAAAAAATGTACTATCAAAAGGGTCATTTTGGAAAATCAACTTTTTTCAAATGTAATAATTGTACTATCAAAAAAAGTTGTATTCTCCAAAAGGGACTATTATTTTGGGACGGAGGGAGTAATATTCTAAATAATCTAAAAAAGTAGTATGTTAATATCACAAAGGGTTGTAACTAATGGCATCAAAATGTATCATAACTAAACAACATTTAAGGTACAACCAAATAACAAAAAATCTCTTTGGTTATAATTAAAATAATCAAAATTAAGTTATAACTAACATCACAATAAATCATAACTAACATCATAATAAGTCATAACAATCATTTAAGGTGTAATCAAAGTCATCTTGTATCATAACTAAAACAAAAATCACAAAAGATAAATAACACGACAATATGTTATACACAAATCAAAACTAACATTACAACATATAAGAGATTTAGAGACCAATTTTTTGTCCCTAAAAGTGAAAATTTTATTGCAAAAAAAATATATTTAATAACCAAGTTCAATCGTCGCGAGGGTAGTCGCTAAAAAAACGTTCTGAAAAAGTAAAACTAGAGCTTTTAGTGACCAAATTTAGAAAAATGTCGCTAATAAAATGCAAGAAAAAATAATTCAGTCCACAAAAAGTTCATTTTTTTAGTCAAACATTTGGTCCCAAGACATCCAAATTTCGTCACTAAAAATATAATAATGATACTTTTGGCAACAAATATTTAGTCTCTAAAATATAATTTCATTTCTAGTTTTTGGTAACCAAAAATGACAAATATAGTAGCTGGAGAATAAAGTGTACCCTTTTCTTCTGTGTATTATAGAATTTCCTTACCAAAAAAAAAAAAAAAGGTCCCAAATAATTTACTTACAAAATAATTATTAAGGTTATTTTTGCTATAAAAATATATTAAGGCTTCGTTTGGCAATGACTTTTTAGTTGGCTTTTTGGCTTTTTTTGACTTTTTTAGCCCAGAACTTTTTTTTTCGTTTGGTATTCTTGATTGGCTTTTTTGGCTTTTTAGTTTTGGAATTGTGGATTTTTTTTTTGTCCTTTCGTGATTTTTGACTTTTTGTAATTTTTTGACTTTTTTTTTTATCCTTTTGTGATTTTTTAGCCCAACTCAAAAACCAAACTACCCCTAAATATGTCTAAATTTAATAATTCTGTTATTTAAAATTTTTTGTCCAAGACAATTAGATATTATCTATGAATTATTTGTCAAAAATATTGGAACATAAGATGAAGGAAAAGTTATTAGTCGATCTTGGGTATTGTCATGTGGTGTCTTAATAATATTTGATTGGTAGAGAGGATGAAATTTTTGAATTTGTGTTAGATGATTGAGAAATATGAAAGGGTATAATAAATTACAATTGATGAGAGGCATGGCCACGTAACGCTCCTAGAGCAATCAATAATTTTTCAAGGTGAAGGTGCTAAGTAATCTTATGATATCATCTAGGGGGAATTACCTGAGTCCAGATCCTCTCCGGCCAGTGTCTCCAGCCTATCCTCTAGGTGACGACACAGATTGGGCCATGTCACTCCACTCAAAATATACGGTTCAGATAAGCTTAAACTGATAGAGAAGCTATGATCTGAATAAAAAAAACAACAGATCTCATAACTTCTTCTTTTTTCTTTTCTTTTTTCCAACAACAACTAGCACTGTTCAACTCAGAGATGACCATGAAACCCCACAAATTCTAGTAAATTAATGAAGTTTTTTGGCCTTTTTATGATGATGACGCCGCCATCTCTTCCAGAGGTGGAGCTGCCACCACCGTCTCTCCCAATCTTACCCAGTGCTTCCCCTGCTTTTGAGGTGACAGAGGCTATGGTGTTGATGAAGCTCACAAAATTTGAGCTTTGAAATGGCCTCTCTTTGGTGGAAGGGTTTTTGGTAGGTTAGGTGGAGTGATTGCTATTGATGGATTTGGAGATTTGCAAAGAAGGAAATTATGAGTTGGGTTTTTTTAAGAGTTTGAAGCAGAGAGAGAAAGAAGAAGAAACAGAGAGGTGGGAAAGAAAGAAACTCACAACCAGCAGTCTAAAAAGTATATAGCTGTAGTGAGAGAAAGAGAAGAACAACCGAAAATAAGAATAGAACTAAAATAGTATATATATATATATATATATGTATGTATGTATCAAAAGTAAAAGTCTTCATTTAAGAAAAGTTAAAATAGTTTGATTTTTTGATTTTTTTAGTTATTTTGGTCTTTTTTTTAGCCTCGTTTGGTTTTTATTTTTGACTTTTTTGACTTTTATAAGAGGAAAAAATGTAATGATTATAATTTGGATGTGACATTTTATCTGATTAACTTATGTAGCCAATTTTATTTTTTATGTTTTTTTAATCAAAAAGTCAAAACCAAACAGAACTAAGGCCTCGTTTGGGAACAGGCTGATTTAGTAATTTTTTGATTATTTGGCTAAAAAGGTAGGTAAAAATAACTTATATGTTTGAGATGACTTTTTGACTAATTACGAAAAGATGTGCAAAAAGTAGAGAGAAAAGAAAATTTTTGATTTTTTGATATGAATTGTTAATTTTTTGATTAATTTAATAATTTTTTGACTAATTAATTAAAAAAGTAAGTCCCCAAACGGGACTAAGAAGGGAGATATGGAAAAAGAATTTGGATCCTCGGCCGCCCTTTTGGGCGGCAGTTCCCAGCAGCCCCCCAAAACGACGTCGTTTTGGGGGGTTTTCCGTTTTTTTTTTTTTTTTTTTTTTTTTTTTTTTTGGAACAAAGGGCCGCAGCCAAAGCAAAAGAAAAAAAAGAGACTATAGCTGAACGACCCTGGAGGAACCAGTCTCCTGCAAATCAAACACCAAAGCTAGAGCCAACGAAGGAGGCTCCACAAACAAAATCTCAGACTGCGTAGCCATGCCAAGAGCTTCTTTAGCAAGAATGTCTGCACACCCATTAGCTTCGCGCCAAATTAATTGAACATCACATTCCCAATCCTGATGTAATAGGTCCCACAACTCTTAACAGGGAAGAAGAAAGAAAAAAAAAAAAAACAAAAAAACCCCCAAAACGACGTCGTTTTGAGGGGCTGCTGGAACGGCCGCCGGGAAGGGCGGCCAAGAATTCGGACTCATGAAAAAAAAGAAGATCAAAAGTAGAACATTCATAGAAGATTAATTAAGAGGAGAGAGGGAGAGGCCTTTCACGTCTTGCCTCCGTTTTTAAATTTATTTTTTGTTTTTTTAAATTGATTTGAAATGTATATTTTGAATGAGGTGACGTAGTTCAATTTTAAACTGCCAGTGAGAGAAAAGGCTGAAAATACTGACAGGAAAAGATCTAAACTCGAATTACCTGCCAGTGATGCCAGAAAAAAAAATGGAAAATGTTTGAGGGCCACAAAATCAGTGGCTCAAATGGCTCAAAACTGTCAAAACGACGTCGTTTTGCGTTGTTTTGCATCCAAAACGACGTCGTTTTGACAGTTTTGAGCCATTTGAGCCACTGTTTTTGTGGCCCTCTAGCATTGCCGAAAAAAAATTACCAACCAGTTGGGTACTTTTCGAAAAGAAAAATGCTTGAGAGCACTAAAAAGGGATCACTAAAGAGAGCACTAATGATGTGGTAGTGGGCCCCGGCTACTTTCTATGCCTTGTTTTTAATTTTTTATTTTATTTTTTGTCATTTCCAATGTATTAGTGCTATTAGTAGTGTAGTTTTTAGTGGTCTAAATCATTGTTGTTTCGAAAATTTTACTGCAGTGAAGTGTTGAAATACAAAAGTATCACACTTTTTGATCAATGGATCAAATTAGGTTCCGTTTGGCAAGAGTTAAACCGGATTTTTTTAGCTATTTTAGTTACAAAAAATAAAATAGATTATTTTAATCACAAAAAATAAAATATCACATTTAACCCATAATTATTATATTATTCTCTCACAAAAAAAAGTCAAAAAAGTTAAAAAGTCAAAAAAATTCTTACCAAACTATAAATTTTTTAGTCCAAATTAAAATAATCAAAAAAAATTAAAAAATAAAAAAACCAATCCACCTCTCCCCCCCCAAATAAAACAAAAAATCCCCAATCTCAAACCCAAAAATCCCTAATCTCTTCTTACCCCCTTTCATGTCAAATCTCTCTCTCTCTCTCTCTCTCTCTCTCTCGACCGATTATAATATTTTTATAAATTTTGTATAACTTTTAAATTATAAACTTGATTTTTACAAAATTAATTCTATAACTTTTAAATTATAAACTTGATTTTTACAAAATTAATTCTATTAAAAAGTTATCAACAATATTTTTAAAATAAAATTAATATTAAATATATTTAATAATAATTTTAAAATAATTAAAATTTTATATTATTTTGAAATATTTAAAAAATAAAAATGAGATGTGTAATTAAAAATTATACAAAATTTAAAAAAATAAATATAAACTATTTTAAATTACTTGAACAAAATTTTTATTTTTCATTCTTTAAGACGTAAACACTAAAATCACTCTTTGGTTACGCATTCAATATTAATTTTTATTTTTTCTTTAAATTACTTGAATAAAATTTTATTTTTTATTCTTTAAGACGTAAACATCAATAATTATTATTTGGTTACACATTAAATATTAATTTTAATCTTTCCAACTACAAATAAGTTTGATAAAAATAAACACACAAAAAATATTTTCTAAATTAAAAAGATTAATTTTGCTCTAAAATATTTTAAATATATTTTTAAACTAAAATTATTGAAATTAATTTTTTAATTTAAAATTAACCTGTTTTTGTTTGTTTTCATCAAACTAATTTCTAGTTCATGAAAAAAAATTGTGAAAGTAATTTCTTAAATATCTAAAATTTAATTAAACAAATACTACCAATCTGTTTTGTTATGTTTTTAAAATATATATTTTAAAAATATATTAGTTTGAAGAAAATAATAGAAAAAATATTAACTCAAATTATACAATTAAAAATGAAAATAAAAATATTCAAACAAACAAATATTAAAAAAATAAGCTTTTGTTCAAAAAAGATAAATTCATATGAAAATAAAAATAATTTTTTTTTACCAAACTATTTTTAGTTTTTTTAGAAAAAGAAGGAAGACAAAATTTAAAAATTCAACCAAATATTTTATATTTCAACTTTAAAAATAGTTACAAAATTAGTTTTAAAAAATTAATCGCACAATATATTTCAACTTTATAAATAGTTATAAAAATAGTAAAAATTAGTCATAGGAAAAAAGAAAAAAGGAAAAAAGAATTCACATAATATTGTAGACACCCCATTTTGACCGGCCAGTCAAAAAAAAAAAAAGAATTCACATAGTATGTTTCAGCTTTAAAAATATTTATGCGGGATTCAAGTCCAATGTGTGTGGAGTGCAAGTCCAATCTGTATGGGGAGCAAAGCGAATCTGGGGTGCAAGTCCATTTTGTATGAGGTGCAAGTCGAATCTATGTGGAGTGCAAATCTAGTGGATTGACATTTTGTAAATTCTCTCACATAGATTATACTTGCACCTCCACACATGTTTGAGTTGGACAACACACAAACTGGACTTGCACCCCACATAGAATAGACTTGCAAACAGATTAGACTTGTACCCCACAAAAAATGAACTTGCACCCCACACAAATTGAACTTACACTTTTGCACACCACACAAATTCGACTTGCACCCCCACACAAATATTTTTAAAGTTATGTGCATTCTTCTTCTTCTTTTTTTTTGTGATTATTTTTTGCTATTTTTATAACTATTTTTAAAGTTGAAATATTAAATAATTGGTTGAATTTTTAAATTTTGTCTTATATTTTTTTTCTAAAAAATTTTTAAATCTGTTGGTAGAAAAATCATTTTCATTTCATATGAACCTCTTTTTTTTAATAAAAACACTTTTTTTAATATTTTTGTATTTGAATATTTTTATTTTTATTTTTAATTGTATAACTTGAGTTAATATTTTTTTCCATTTATTTTCACCGAGCTAGTTTACATATATTTTGAAAATATAACAAAACAAAGTAATAATATTTATTTTTATTAAATATATTTAAAATTCTAGATAATTTAGGAAATTACTTTCACAATTTTCTTCCAAGAACTAGAAATTAGTTTGCTGAAAACAACACAAAAAGGTTCATTTTAAATTCTAAATTTTTTTTAAATCGGTTGGTAGAAAAATCATTTTCATTTCATATGAACCTCTTTTTTTTAATAAAAACACTTTTTTTAATATTTGTGTATTTGAATATTTTTATTTTTATTTTTAATTGTATAACTTGAGTTAATATTTTTTTCCATTTATTTTCACCGAGCTAGTTTACATATATTTTGAAAATATAACAAAACAAAGTAATAATATTTATTTTTATTAAATATATTTAAAATTCTAGATAATTTAGGAAATTACTTTCACAATTTTCTTCCAAGAACTAGAAATTAGTTTGCTGAAAACAACACAAAAAGGTTCATTTTAAATTAAAAAATTAATTTCAATAATTTAAGTTTAAAATTATATTTTAAAATATTTTTGAGCAAAAGCATTTTTTTAAATTTAGAAAATATATTTTTGTATTTATTTTTATCAAACTTATTTGTAGTTTTTTTGGAAAAATTAAAAATTAATATTGAATACCAAACAGTGATTATTGGTGTTTACGTCTTCAAAAATAAAAAATAAAATTTTTATTCAAGTAACTGTAAATAGTTTATATTCATTTTTTTTATAATTACACATCTCATTTTTATTTTTTAAACATTGCAAAACAATATAAAATTTTAATTATTTTAAATTTATTATTAAATACATTTAATATTAATTTCATTTTAAAAACATTGTCGATAATGTTTGCACCCGACACAAATTCGACATGCACCGCACACAAATATTTTTTAAAAAAATGTTTAAGAGCTCTAAAGGGAGAGCTAGCTCTAATTTGTTCAAAAGAAATAAATAAATAAATAAATAAGCTTTAATTTGTCTTTTTTCCCACTATAATTTATCTTTTTCCTTTTTATTTATTTTTTACTGCCAACTGTATAGAGTTCGATTTAGAACTCGATATTTAGAGCTCTCTATCATTGCCCTATTTTTAATGTTATGTGAATTCTTCCTTCTTCTTTTTTGTGACTTTTTTTTTTGCTATTTTTATAACTATTTATAAAGTTGAAATATATTGTGCGATTAATTTTTTTTAAACTAATTTTTGTAACTATTTTTAAAGTTGAAATATTAAATAATTGGTTGAATTTTTAAATTTTGTTTTATATTTTTTTTCTACAAAAATTTAAAATAGTTTGGTAAAAAAATCATTTTCATTTCATATGAACCTCTCTTTTTTGAACAAAAACACTTTTTTTAATATTTGTATGTTTGAATATTTTTATTTTTATATTTAATTGTATAATTTGAGTTAATATTTTTTTCTATTTATTTTCACCAAAATAGTTTACATATATTTTGAAAATTTAAATCTTTTTCCTTTTTATTTTTTTTTAACTGCCAACTGTATAGAGTTCGATTTAGAACTCGATATTTAGAGCTCTCTATCATTGTCCTATTTTTAATGTTATGTAAATTCTTCCTTCTTCTTTTTTGTGACTTTTTTTTTTGCTATTTTTATAACTATTTATAAAGTTGAAATATATTGTGCGATTAATTTTTTTTAAACTAATTTTTGTAACTATTTTTAAAGTTGAAATATTAAATAATTGGTTGAATTTTTAAATTTTGTTTTATATTTTTTTTCTACAAAAATTTAAAATAGTTTGGTAAAAAAATCATTTTCATTTCATATGAACCTCTCTTTTTTGAACAAAAACACTTTTTTTAATATTTGTATGTTTGAATATTTTTATTTTTATATTTAATTGTATAATTTGAGTTAATATTTTTTTCTATTTATTTTCACCAAAATAGTTTACATATATTTTGAAAATTTAACAAAACAGAGTGATAATATTTATTTTTATTAAATATATTTAAAATTTTAGATAATTTAGGAAATTACTTTCACAATTTTCTTCCAAGAACTAAAAATTAGTTTGATGAAAACAAACACAAAAAGGTTAATTTTAAATTAAAAAATTAATTTCAATAATTTAAGTTTAAAATTATATTTTAAAATATTTATGACCGAAAGTAATTTTTTTAATTTAGGAAATTTATTTTTCGTGTTTATTTTTATCAAACTTATTTGTAGTTTTTGGAAAAATTAAAAATTAATATTGAATACGTAACCAAACAGTGATTATTAGTGTTTAGGTCTGCAAAAATTAAAAATAAAATTTTTATTCAAGTAATTTAAAATAGTTTATATTCATTTTTTTATAATTACACATCTCATTTTTATTTTTTAAATATTTCAAAACAATAAAAAATTTTAATTATTTTAAAGTTATTATTAAATACATTTAATATTAATTTCATTTTAAAGACATTGTCAATAACGTTTTAATGGAATTAATTTTGTAAAAATCTAGGTTATAGTTAAAAGGTATGCAAATACTAACAAGTGTCCCAAATGCATTGTTTAATGTTGGGAAGTGCATATAAAGTATTTGAAATATCTAAAATATTAAAAAGTATTCAGTAAAAGTGTATTAAATTTAGCCAAAATTATCGTATTTTCTTTAATTTGTTTTGTCATTTACTTGTGTCATAGGGGCACTTATTAGAAGACGAAAAATGCTTGGAAGCACTAATTAGTGCTCCCACTAATTAGGTGGCAGTGGGTCCCGCCATTAATGATGTGATGTTTTGATCTTGAAGTTGTATTTTTTTTATTTTTTTTTACTTTTTTAATACATTAGTGCTATTAGTGGTAATGTTTTTAGTGGGATGAATCATTGTTGATTAGAAGACCCTGCTTTGCACCCCACATAGGGTTGGGGTTGTGCAAACTACTCTTAAATCTGCTAAAACCGCACCAATCAACATCAATTCGCACCGCTCTATTCGCTAACCGCAGATTAAATTTTAAAATTTATAATCTGCCTTCAAAATTGCTCTGCTCCGCTATAGTTAATATATATATATATATATATTTTAATCTCTAATAAAATATCAAAGTAAAAATAAGTGTGAGAGAGATTTAAGATGTAAAATTTGTTATAAATTAGTAGTTATATATATAAAACATATTATGTAAAATTTGTTTGTGTTATATATATAAAAAATATTATGTAAATTAGTGTTATATATTATGTAAATATTTAATAATTTGTTAAAATATTCTTCAATCTGCTAATCTGCCATTTGATTTGTAATTTAACTCTCAAATTGCTCGAATAGCGCCGGGCACACCCTTAACCCCACATAGATTACACCTACATCCGAAGAACCCAAATAGTGGCTCCAATCCAGATTGTGGACTGGAGGGATACTCCATTTTATTATACTACACAATCTATTATTTAAAAAAAAAAACGTGTTTAAACTATTTATATTACTTGAACCTCTCGATACTATTAATCCTGTCATCGCTACACCTATACGCATACAATAAAACTTGTTCAGCTAAGGATAACGTCGCATGGCCAAGGCAAGATGAACGGCATACTTCTCAACATTATGGTATGTACGATGCATGCCATGAGAAAACATATCATATGCGGTCAAAGTTAGTATCGTTACCTTACTACAAGACAGCAATTGGTCTTGTGGGATCATGTTTTTATTGTTTGTAGCCTTCCGCCAATGCCAGAGCTCCCGCATGGAATCAGTAGCAAGCAGATGGAGTGGTGTATTTCCTTCAATGTCTTTTTGATTTATAAGATGGATAATCCATGACTTGTTAAAAATATATTTTATCACCTCTTTTTGCTGTTCCACCACAGCAATGTGAAGCACATTTTGTCCTTCACTGTTGACCATCTCCCAACAATCTGGACACTGTGATAAAAGCTCTTCCATTACTTGATGCCACCCATTAGCAGCAGCTATATGAAGAGCTGTCTTTTCATCACCCTCCTCATTTGTTGTAATGTACACAGCTGATTTATCTTTTTCTAGCATCAATTTAACTGCATAGTGATTACCAAGACATGCTGCATAATGAAATGGTGTCCACCCGTGCTCATCTGTTTTCTTGATTAGATCTTGGTGCTCATCTGTTTCCTTGATTAGATCTTGGTTCCAATCCAATAAAAATTGTGCGCTTTGATCTAGCTTCATTTTGGAGAAAGTTTTTGAGCTTTCTGAAATAGAAGAATCATAAGGACAATTTAATATATATCTCAACAATAAAAAAATGCTTCAGCTTTCATTTTTTGTTTCTTCTTTTTTTGGAATTAATTTTGGTAAAAATTTCCTTTGCAAGTCCCTATATATTAGTCCTTAGTTGCACATTTGTCACGTTTGTCCTCTCACTTCAAAAGACTTACTAAGAGCATCTCCAATGCACTAGGCATATAATACTTGTTAGTTAAAATGCCTAGTGTGATTCACTTTTTTCAATTCCAATGCACTAGGCATATGATTAGATTTTGGAGAAAGTTTTTGAGCTTTCTGAAATAGAAGAATCATAAGGACAATTTAATATATATCTCAACAATAAAAAATGCTTCAACTTACATTTTTTGTTTCTTCTTTTTTTGGAATTAATTTTGGTAACAATTTCCTTTGCAAGTCCCTATATATTAGTCCTTAGTTGCACATTTGTCACATTTGTCCTCTCACTTCAAAAGACTTACTAAGTTAGCCATGAGCTTGAATTTGAATCTTTGTTTCAGGTTTGATTAAAAGTACATCCTCTTTTCCAATTCTAATATCTTGTCTACAATACATGTAACTTCAACTTTTTCGAAAGTTATTTTTGATGCTATTATTATGATGAAATGTAAATGATTAATGCAACTAATAAATGAACAGAGCAGTGAACACAGCAGGGGTATGTATGCCTAGAAAGAATATCTATTTCTTTAACAATTTACCCCTCTTTTTTCTCTGCAATTGAATTTGTTAAAGAAATTGAAGTAGCCACAAACCTGTTCTCCATGGGCAAGCTACTGCCACGTGCAATGCAGTCTGACCCTTTGGGCCACCATAAGCTGGCGATTTGCAATTTTTCAAAATCATAAACACCACGTCATCGAGTTGTCTCTCAACGGCCAGGTATAATGGAGTTTCCTCGGCATTATTGGGTTGATGTGTAAACTCAGGATCTTCTGTAGTTAACAATTCCACCACACCTGAGTGACCATTTCGAACGGCCATGTGCAAGGCAGTGTCATTGTCCTTATTTGTGGCCCTCAACATCTCCTTGGCTGCTCCACCCCCGCTTTCAACTTCTTCACGGCCTAGTCTTTTTGCACGTTCTATGAGTTCTTTCACTATGTCCAAGTGTCCTTTCCTCGCTGCAATATGAAGAGGAGTCTCGCCATCCATATTCAAGCAGCGTAACAACGATGATGACGGACCCTTTTCTAAGATTATTTTCACATATATTTGGTTACCGAATTGGGCTGCGACATGGAGAACTGTGTTCTTATGTGAAGTGAGTTGCAGTTCAAGTTGATGTTGGTCATTAATGTATGGCATGAGGTGGAGGACATCTTCATTGTTGTCTTCGATCTCGGTATTCGGCTTACTTGGCCAATTAATCCAGGAGAACAATCGGCCAGACCAACTAATCTGGTTCTCTTTGTCTCCCATGGCTTCTCTGTACAACATAGGATCCATTTTTGTGGCTGCAATGAGATAGTTATGGGACTGTTATGATCTATTCGGCTCATGCCTTTTGCAACATATATTAATATTTCAAAAATTATTTCTATAAATATTGAAATATTAGGACAAGTAAATTTTCTACTATATATATATTATTATCAATAGTTAAGGTCAATAGAAAATGTTTAAACTATGAAACTTCTTCTCCTAACAAATCTTCTATTTGAAAGGGGGGAAAATGGTTCAAAGCAACATGAGAATATGAACTATATTGATAAAAAAAATATTTGAAAATTTTGCTTTGTTAAAATTAAATTTGTAGAGCGGTCCAAAGCTGCATCACAACATGAGAAATATAAACATATATAACCAGTCACATAAAAAAGATTTAAAGAATTTGCTTTGTTAAAATTAAAACTGGCAAAACACTTTAATTAAGTCATAGGTGGATGAAGTATTTTGTCACCAAATTACCAAGCACCTATGTAGTTTAGTATATATATATTTTTTTATGTGCACTTATTCGGACCAATTTACGTGTAGCTCAACTAATCTCGGGACGCATGTAGTTTAGTATATAGATGACTTATTATAGTATTTCCAATGGTTTTTCCATTTGAAATGCCAAAATTATAATTTGGTATGCTGTAATAACAAAATGTTAAATTTTAACAATCTTGCTCCAACAACCAACCTTCGATTCTTTTTTCTTTTTTTAACTGATCGTTGGGTGAATCTCAATCTAAATCTTAATCTAACTGTAAAAAAATTAAAATTAGTTTGAGAAAAATAAATAAGAAAAAGCAACGTTTCAAAAAATTATTTTTACTCCAAAAAAAGAGAAAATTGTATGACGATAATGTGATTTTTTTCTCACTAAACTAGTTTTTCTTTTGCTTTTTTTGATTCAAAAAATGCATTTTCTTGATAATTTAGAAATAAAAGTTATTAATTTTTGGTTTTAGTTTTCATTCTTTAATCATACATCTCAAGATATAGTGAAATGGCAATTTTTTCGGATATAATTTGACATATTTGGCATTGATATAATTTGACCGCTGCTCTAACATGTCATTGGAAAATACTTCTTTCTTTAGCAAAGAAAATCTGTACATTAATTAAGTGAGAGAAGAATTTATAAAATTTTATTACAATGACAAATTATATCAGTGCTCCCTAAAAGTATAGGTTTTATTTCACTTTAGTCTATAATATTAATATTTTAGTTTTGTCAATTTGATCTCTAAACTCAAAACTGTGAGTTTAAATGGTTCCAACTATTGGTAGTTTCTAATTTGGCTTTCAAGCCTTTTTCCAAAAAATAAAAAAAAATTTGTCTCGGCCCTTATGCCATCTAAATTGATTAACAAGCGCTGACATATTTTTGAAATTTTAGACAAAGCCTTAAAAAAAAAAAAAAAAAAAGACCAAATACACATGATTCTCAAAGTGTACAACTCAATTTTCAAAATGTGCTTTGTTGTATTTTTTGTCCTCAATTTATTGATTTTGTTGTAATTTTTAGTGAAATTTGGAAAATATATATTTAATTTGGACAGCTATATATATATATATAGTAAATAGAAAGTGACACAAGACCAGTTGAAACTCTGATGCCCCTTGGATTCAAGAGATTTTTTTTTTTAATATTCTTGAAAAAAAAATAATTTAGAGAATTGACTGACTTTTAAAACTATTTAGCAAACTAAACTACTTTTTAAAATCACATTTTGAAAATGTAATTTTAAATTGAAATTGTATTTTTAACATGCAATTTTACCTTAAAATCGCAAGTTGAAAATGTAATATATGATGATAAAGACTTTACTATGCAATTTCAAAAGTATGTTAGTTTTCTAAATAGTTAGAAAAGTGAGTCAATTCTCTAAATTATCCTCTCTTTTTTTAGAATATTAAAAAAAAAAACTCTTGGATTCAAGCCTCATTGCATTACAGCATTTATTCTTTCCCTTAGATACATATATAGATATATTATATTTTTTCTACAGTTGACAAAAATAGAAAATAGTATAGGTCTCAAATTTTTTACAAAACAAATGATCAAATGTGTCACATGAGGGTGAGGTTTGGTAAGAAATAGTATCCCTTACATTATTCGACAGAATTTGAACAAAATCAACTCACCCTTGTGAATGCTATTGTTACTAGAAGTTTTGGTGGCATTTCTGCTTGAAGTGAGAGCTTGGGGTGGTTGCTGCAAAGGATCTGGTGCAGAAGAATTACTGGTTCTTCTTTCTATGAAACGAGCGACATGGCCTCTCTTCATACCAAACTGAGAAGAAATTTCATCAGTACTTAACCCAAGAAGCTCTTGAAGAGATTTCCCAGAGGACTCAAGCTTATCTCCATATTGAATCAGAGCACGATTATGGAGGTATGACCTCATTTCCAGTGCATCCTATAGTATGAATCATTAAAAAACCTTTAATTAGAGGTCATAAATAGTTTTGATTGATTTATGTATTAGAATATTAAAGAAAATGGGGGTTTGATAGTAATAGTAAAAGAACCTTTTGTTGCTGAGTCAGGTTGATTGCATCCATATCCTCTGATTTCATAAGCTTCAAGGTTGGTACATCATCCCAACCTTCTTCTATAAGCTTCGGAATCACTATCTTCAAAGCTCCATTCCCAAGAAAACCCTCCATTGATACACAGAGTGATTCACTTCCAAAGCGCAAGTCTTTTGCCCAAATGATTTGTGGATGGATGAACAGGTACGATTTGGGCAGCTCTTATAAGCTGCCTTTTTTAAAAGTCAATTTATCTTTAAATTTAAATTAAAATCTATTTCACTTCTTCTATTTTGATTAAAAGGTCAACTAAAATCACTAAAATAATTTATTAAAAATGTCAAAAAATAAAAAAATATGTCAAATAAACTTAAAGTTTTTTGTATAGCATCACTAAATATGACAATGAAAAAAATTTAAAATATTCAAAAATAATTATATAGGGTTCAAACTTAATTTCTATATGTTGAGATTCATATTTAAAAAGAATTTGAATCAAATTTCCTAGTTTTTATAAATATTCTGTATGTTTTATTATTTTTATTTTTTTTCTAATCTCTAGGTAAAAATAAGTAATAAGATCATTAGTTAATAAGATAATGGTAAAATGAGGTGAGAGATGGGGATTTTTTTTTTCTTTTTTAGTTAGGGGAAAAACTTCCTACTCTCTTGTAGTTTAAGATAACGTTCTTCGTTGCGATCACTAAGGTGTCCTGCTATCCGTTTTGAGTAAGAGATTATAATCTGAGAACTTGTCTTGACCCTCCAAAATAAGTTCTGTTTAAGTCAGGACTCGCACAGTGAGGGAGTATCGAACCCATACCAAATATTATAGTAACAACAATTTGAGATATAATCCCTAACCAACTGCGCTCTGCCTAAGAGATTGACTCAATAAGTTTTGAACTTGAGACTTTGATTGTTCACTTGTTGTACGGGAAAGAAATACGCCTTCTCGTATAATCCTATTGACTAAGTCCACGCTCCTCCGTACGACGTCGCTTTGTCACCTGAAAACACAAACGTGAGCTAGCCGGCGGGTGTGTGCCGGAAACCTCTCTGATGCCTAAGTCAGAAATCTTGACAAATAGACAAAGCTCAATGTATTCAAGAAGCAAAATTGTGTGTTGTGTTATTACCCCCTCCAAGGTGATGCTTGTGAGCTTTTATAGATTTCGAGTGACACAATCCTAGTAGGACTTTTATTCCTCCATGCAGAGTGCTCCTAGGATTCATACTCCTAAGGATAATGCTTATCCTTTTACACCCTCCTCCACTGCTTAAACCAAGTGGGATGGTTTTTACTTTGGCCGAACTATTACATGACCGAAATAAGCTTGGCTATGCAGAGCCACTGAGTAAACCGAACTATTCTTAGTTCGGTTCCACTTTTTAACTCTTCTTATTTCGGCTTTCCATGTAGAACCCATAGTACGGTCTTAGACCGAACCGACGACTTTCGGCCGGTATAACCCCAAGACTAGTATAACTCCAAGTTGCTTTCGGACCGAAGTATCTTTACAGTCACTGTGCCGAAGTAACTTTGTCCCTCTTATGCCGGAGTAGCCTTGCCTCTCCTGGGCCGGAGTAACCATGTCTCTCCTGGGCCGGAGTAACCATACCTCTCCTGGGCCAGAGTAACATTGCGGCATTTGCACCAAGTCCTTGGCACTTTGGGCCACAAAGCCTATCACATAGCTCGGCCCAATTTTTACCAAAAATTACCCTCTCAATTGCCCCATAATTCCATCTGCACAGCATGATTGGGATTACAAGTCCAACCGATCTGAAGTTATTAAGCCTTTCCAGCCGAGCTAAAAACCCTTTAGCCTCTCCAGCCGAGCTAATTTTACTTCGGGCTTCACTTTGTCCGGTCAAAACGTCTCTTCAATCACGACTGTAACGCTTCCCTTTCCGTATACACGTGGCATGCTCCCATTCGTAGAAGGCAGCTGTCAACGCCGTCTTCGTGTTTCGCAATTTTTGAATAGTCCCGCCCTTTGTCTCTCGTTCTTTTTCACAAAACACTCCCCCTATCTCCTGAGTTCATTCACCTTTTCTGTTCATCTTCCTCTCTTTGTGCCTTTGCTTCTCCAACCCCTGAGATCCCTGAGCTTGGTGTTCTTTGCTGGTGTTGTTTCTCTTCTCTTCAGCTTTCTTCTCCCTCTGGTAAGTCCCTAAAAACTTGTTTTTGCTTTTCTTCTTACTGCTTTCTACGTTTGGTTCACTGTATTTTTGCAAAACATGTTCTTAGCTTTCTGCTTTGCCTCTGTATTTTCATGAAAAAAAAAACACTAGCAGAACTCATGCGTGTGTGAATTTCTGTAAAAAACTAGTCTTAGATCCAAAATAATGTAGCGACCGATCTAGGGTACTGTTTGTCTAAATAGGCGGATTACTTCAGTCAACAGCCGAACTAGAACTTGTAGAGATGACAGTAGCTTCAAAAAATAACCTTCTGATTCACTTTAGCCGAAATAAGATCACCGAACGAAGTCTGAATACATTAACCTAAGAACCTTAGTCTTTAACCGAGCTAAGCCTTTGGGACTAAGCCAGCTTTCTTAGTTTTTAAACCAAACTCAGAGAGCTGCCCCTAGAGGCTCAACCGAAATAACAAAACACATAGTCTAACCGAATTAGGTCTTCGGGGCTAAGCCAGCTTTCTTAGTTTTTAGACCGAACTCAGAAAGCTGCCCGCAGAAGAAGAACCGGTCTACCCTGCTCAAACCGAGCTACCAAACCATTTGATAAACCGAGGTAGAACCAGCCGAAGTAGGACTGTATACCTTGCTTTTAATTTGTAGCACGGTCCAATGATCTGTGCTTAACCCCTTTGTTTTCTACCTTGCAGACTTAGGTTGCCCAGGCACTCCTGCGTGCGCACAACCGAGCTACTGAGCACCATTTTTGCACCGATCTAACTTATCCTTAATTTATACCAGAAATGGGTAAGTATAGGTATCTAGTTGAGACCCCTGGTGGCATGGCCGAATTCAAGAAGGACTATAACATACCCAATGATGTCCATTTGACTTTAGCAAAAAAGAACATCATTCCATGGGACAATGAAGGTTTTGTCCCCTTCACCCTTTCATCCATTATTGAAACCGGACTACGGTTTCCAGTCCAACCATTGATCTGTGAATTTCTAAGGCAGACCAGATTATGTCCTACCCAACTGTCCACCAATTCATACCGCATCATTATGGGAATAGCCGCACTAAACCACCAAGCCGGACTAAACCTAGGCCTGGCCGAAATCTTCCACCAATATTCCGTCGGCTGCAAAGAAGACGGATGGGTCTATTACTTAAGAATACATCGCCGCCGAGAGAAAATAATAAAACACACACCGGATAAGGACTTGAACGACGACGATTTTTTTTGGGTCTCTGGGAACTTTGAGGATTTTCAAGCCCCAATTCCTGGCCGACCTATAAATTGGAAAAAGGGGGAGCCCGGTAATTTGACTTCGGCCTTCTTCCTTGTATTTTTATTTCGGCTTTTAGCCTATCAACCGAACTAACAATTTCTTCTTTCGCAGATTTCGCACATCTACATTCCCTGTACAGTTATCCAAATCTGAACACACTCCGAGCCGCACTACGAATCAAAGAAAAAAGTTGGGCCAAGATTCTAAACTTTGAACCGACCTACAGATATAGCGGTCGTCGAAAAGCTCGAGTGACCGATTTCCTTCTTGAGGAAGCACCAGAACCGGACCCAACCTTGCCCGAAATACGACTTGTCCCATTAACTGCTGAAGAAGAGATGGCAAAGAAAAGCAGAGTTAGGGCCCTTCTGACTGCAACAACCAGGGCCGAAGTACCACCAACTATTGAAACGCAGCCTGCCGTTGTGGCCCTCCCTTCTCAACGGCCTTCTTCATCTCGCCCTTTCAAACGCGCCCGATCTACATTGACCGAACAACAACTTGTCGATGAGGTTGAATCCATCCCCCAAAGTCCTCAACCTATCCTCCAACCGGAGCAAACCGACCGAGCTGAATCTTCCAATTGGGCTCCGAAGCTAATCTTCAACGACCGAGATATCAAAGATTCTGATTCGGTTGTGGCTGAAAAAGATCATCAATTGGCCTTTAACCTGGCCAAAAGTGTGTGCCTCCCCAAGGACATGGAGCACCACCTAAAGCAATTAAACACCGAAATGAAGTCAATCCGGTCTACATCGAAGTCCATGATTTTGGTAGGTAGCTCTGTCCGTTTCTTCTGTCTGATTTTTCCAATCTTTTACTTCGGCTCAAGAGATGTCTTTGTTTCGTCAGGCTTTACAAAAAAATAACATTACGTACAAAAAGGTCCAAGAGCTTAGAAAAACCACAAGGCAGGCAATGGCGGAAGCCGAGGCAAAGATGGCCGAGCTAGAAGAAGCTGAAAAGAAAATGGCCGAGATGCAAGCAGAGAACGGCTAACTTGCCGATCTGGTTAATTCAGTTGAAGCGGAGAAGCAGAAAGCCGCCATCGCTATGAAAGACAAGTATCTGCGGGAGTTGGTGAAGCTTGAGAAGAGAAAAGACACCGAAATAACTCAACTAAAAAAGAGCGCGGAGGGAGCCGAAAAGCAGGGTTACAAGCGGGGTTACAAGAAGGCAGAAGATGCCTATGCCAAACAGTGCGATGCTGCCAAGGAGCTGTTCTTCAAGTGCGGCTGGAGGGCGGCTGTTGAGAAACTCGGTCATGATCAACAGACCGAGGTCTTCAACCCTCCAGCTTACTTTATACCGAAGTCCCTTGCGGAGTATGCGGATGCCTTGCAACAAGAGTTTCTGGAAGACTCAGATTCTGATGACTCCTCCGCTTCTGAAGACATTCCGGTTGTTAGTGCAGACCCATCACTTCGGTTGGAGCCCATGGTAGAGGACCTACCTATTGAACAGCCAAGTGACACCGTGGTTCCAACCGAAACCCTCCTGGCAACCGAGAGTGAACTTCCTCTTGAAACCGGTCTTCAAGTTGATGGTGATGCGGCTTTTGACGCCGAAATTGAAGAACTTTTTTCCTGATTTTTTCTCTTTTTTTGTTACCTTTTCTTTGTAACCGGGCTATGTCCCTCTTGTACTTGCTTTTCTATGAATGAAAATTTTGTTGGACTCTTATTCCGGTTCTGATATGTACGCCTGTACTTCGTAATGCCTTCTAATACTCCAACTTCTATTTCGGTTTTTTACTTGTTAAACTATGCTTACCTGCCAA